ACAAAACAAAAATATATAATGCATCGATTGGTCGTCCACGCACTGTTTCAAAAATTTTATTATTAATTTTGTGAGAGAAGACGGGTAGAAGAACATACCAGTGAAAATCTTTTAAGGCATATTTACGATTTGGTAACAAATGTGATAATAACCTTTAATAACGATAGCCCTGTTGAAATAATTAAATAACCCATTGAATGTCAAAGTGACTCTAGATAAAAAATCCAGGGTTGAGAAATGTTAAGGAGTAGTTCTGTACAGGTATATGTAGAATAATAACAGTGATTTTTTGTTATAGCAGCTTACTTTCTCTGCTAAAATAGTCAGTTTGAAGCATTTCAAATATTTAAAAACATGATATTTATGCGTCTTTTAACCAATTAATTATTTATTATGAAAATGACACACCACTCTTAAATCCAAAGTCTGAAATATTGATTTGCCCAATTTTTGTAGACATTTAATTATTTAAGTAGTGAAGTAAGTGATGATTTTGTCATGCGCACCCCGCATCAAATTTTTGAAGTATTAGTTTCATAATTGTCTGTAATTTTGTTAATTATTCTATAATTTTTCGAGGAATCTTGAATTGTTCATCTCCATCCAGCTAAGTGATAATGGTACAGAATTCGGCCAAGGGAAAGAACACATGCATTTGTTTTGCCTGATGCGCGCCATGTCGTATTCAATATGTGTTCTGACGCATACGGATTCTCAGCATATGATCTGATATCATCTTTGAGATAGCAACATCTCCAATCAAGGAATATTCATAACTTTAGAACCGAATATCGGTAGAACTCTAACTTTCTTTAGTGTTATAATGAATCCCTAAAAAGAAATATAAAAAAAATATGAACAAAACCAGGAAGTAGGAAATTGCAAAAAAAATCTGATATAGAATGAAGTACTTTACGTAGAACGTCTTGCCCGAAATCACAGCCGTAATGCCAATACTGTTAAGCAATGACCTGTTTCACGAATAACTTTCATTCTCATTTGCGCTAATTACAACTTCCATTTTGGATAGGAAACCTGGGCAGTGAGGTTTTTTTATTGCATAACTATTTGGTTTATCATAGCTGATTTAAAAATATAAATATCATATAGACCTCGGAACTTAAAATATTCATTTATAATAAAAAAAAAAAACCTGCATATTTTATAATATTTACCATACATTTTTTAAAGTTTAATATCAGAAATACATCTATTGAATATTTTTTGCTAAACGATTTCGGTAACCTTTCCCAGACTCCACTTCAATTCTATTAACTTGAATGGAAAGAAATACTGAGAATTTATATATTGTATATATTATATATATTATATATTGTGTTAATAGGTATATTTTTATTTTATTTTTTTACTTAAAAGAAAAATGGATGTTTTTATTTATCAATATTACTTATTTCTCTGGAATGAGAAAAATTGAAATATTTTTCAAATATTCTACGGAACCCCCATTTCGACGCACACCGGGTTCATAAAGCAATGAGGAAGAGATATATATAGTTCTGTAGGAATACAAGATGGTACTCACTCTTGAATACAAAATACCTTTGAGCAAAAAGTACAATATTCTCTTCCCCATTCCTTTTTAGGACAAATGATGCCCAATGCTCCGTGAGTGAAACAGTCGGAAATGATAATAAATGACATAATTTGAATTAAGATTTTATTACTTCATCGATATTTAATTAGTAAACTAAATTTGAAAAATTTAATAATATTAGATTGCAACTGGAAGTAAACTAATCGTTATTATATACATAATTTTAAAAACTGAACAATAGTAATATAATTTTCAATGAAAAACGTGCAAAATACTTTACAAAACATGTGTAAAGCTAATAATAATTCGATTTCGAATGACTTTATAAAAATTTTATATGAAAATAATAACTAAAATTATTATTATTATGTTCTTTTTGCATATTGATTCGAAAACATTATTTATTTTTTGTTTATCCTAATATCATAAGGTCAAACAAAATATCTAATTAGGCGCCTATTGATAAAAATATAGAGCTTCTAGGACCAAGTTTGGTGATCTGTTCATCTGATACTAAATATATCAGCGATCGGCGAAGTAGAGATCTGATATAATTCGCAAACGCCAAATGGATGGCTTATTTTTATTCGACTTTTAGATTCTACATTTCTTGATAGTTGAAATTTTAATTGGGAGTTAAACATTTTTTTGTCAATATTTGATATATTAATATTTATAAAATTATATATTTTACCGAGTTAATTGATGTTTTTTTTATTATATTACTTTTACATAATTTATTTTTTAAGAATTAAATTTTTATTTTATTTTTTAACTCAATCGATCAACAAACTGCTGTTTATCTTCATGACTAGTTTATCCGAAATAATTATACAAACACTATCAATCTTAAATATATTTACTGTTTTAAAAACTAAAGACGGCGAGAATAATATATTTTTTTTTTAATTTCCAATAAAGTCAAATCATTTTAAGTAAGATAGAGTTGTCATGAAGTAGTCAACTATAATTTGAAATCTTGACTAAATAAGGGAAAGAAAGAAAATAAGGATTTGAAAATTAATTATGTAAAACGTATTATAGTAAAATTAGCATACCTATAGCAAAACAAACTTAAAATTATATTTTATGATGTTAATAATTAGGATATAATAGGCAAAAATTTCCAACTGTACCTAAAATGTGTTGCCATTTCAGGCATTATCAGGACAAATAAGAAAAATAAGCCCAAGATCACATATATCCATGACATACAATCGCTTACTGTAAGAAAAGTGAGGTAACAGCTGATGGAGTTTATAATCCAACAGCTGATCAGGATAAAAAAAACTGAGCACTCTAAAGTATTAATGAACGAATTTAATTTTGATTATATTCGAGTATTATTCAAAGAAAAGGATATTTTAGACTTAGTTAATGCTAGAAGCTAGATGATGCTGTTAATTATAGAGCTGACTGTACAAATCTCAATAAATTTTATTCTGTAATGTTGAACATCTTAGATAAGTCTAGTAAATAATATTTTTTTTTTTACCTTTGCGTGATCAGCTGTTCTCGTAACGTTCCTTGGATATGAATTTTATTTATTATTTTTTCTTTATCTTATTTGTTGGGGCATATTTATAATTTTGGTTGGTAATTACATGTTTTTCAACTTTTTTTTTCTGATCAGCTAATTTGATTATAACCTTCCTCTGTTGATTTACCTCACTTTTCTTCCAGTACACGATTGGATGTCATGATGGAGTAATTGTTTGTAATCGTTTTCTTTTTTGTCCTAATGATGTCTGAATTTGCAAAACGTTAAAGAGTTATTTCATTCCTTATCTGCATTTTAGAAACATAAAGTTGTGTGGTCGGAAATTGTTTCCATTGATAAGCTAACATTGAATTTCTGCCCCTTCCTGAGTTTTTACCCGTTTACGTTTAGATATTATTAATACAAAACCTCCTGTTGGGACTCCGGCGGAAGAATTGTTACCTTCGAAGATGAAACAAAGAAGGACATGGCTGCACCTCCTTGTAGCATTCGTTAATAAACGGCACACTCCCCGACCTTGCAACAAAATGTCCGGGCCAGGGGCCATGACCCGCTAACCAAATCTTCTTAGCGAAGGATCATTGCTTAAACATGCCTTCCTCAATGTCCAACAGTCTTTTTGATCAATGAAATTCTTGACAAGTTGTTCGCTGGTTTAGGGTTTGATTAATTTATGTGTTTAGGCATAATTAATTTCTTTGACAGCTATCCTCTACCGGTTTCATTGTCCACAGCGTAACTACAACTAAACTCGCATATTTAAAAAAAAATTTAATGTGGGTATTTAAAGGATTGAATGAATGAAAATTATATATATATAGTAATCCTGTGTCAAATTGAATTTAAATAAAAAACATTATTGTTTTTGTGCAGATTGTCACATATCAATTTAATCAAATTGCATTATCTTCTTTCGCGAAAGCATCAACAAACTTTTTCCGTCATTATATGTCTCTGTTCCAAAACCAGTTCGTCCATTCAGGAACACAAATTAGATATAAGTTGTGGAATAGTGTAAAAATTATTCAGTGTCAATTTCATCAACATTTCTTATAAAGTACTGTATCTCATGATCCTTCATGTTTTTTAGTGGTACAGGTTGTTTGTTTTATTTACATATATACATACATATATATGTAAGTGTAAGAAAAATAGATTAGTGAACAAAAATCAACTGGGAAGGTGATAATGATAGTAATCTATCATCGGGAGTCTGGAGCTTAGTGAATTTTGAAATATAGAAAAATATTTTATTGTGCACGCTTAAGCGAAATTAGTGCCTGGAATTTGATACAACTGATACAAGACTTCATGAATAGCAACCCATACCATTCCTAGAAAATTCATCTGAACGGGTCAAAGATAATATGTGTAAGCCAGTAATAACATGGAATGGAAGAGTGGTTTCGTATTTCTTTCCTTGATGTCTATAATGTAAAAGGCGAGTGATAATTTTCGATCTGGAGGACAAAATATTTTTGGCTTACCGCACGAATGGAAATCTCTACTTTCGGTAGTGAATTTTTGGAATAAAAAATATTTATACTTTTATAAATGCACTATTATATTCTAAATGCTCACAGTAAAAAAACAAATAACCTATTGATGTGCGAAAAAAAATTGAATAATTCGTTGAAATTCATTTAGTTTTCGTGAAGAGTATTGAGAAGCTAAAAATATCAATTTATTAAAAAATAATAAAACTTCAAAAATAATAACCTCTCTATTATAGAAAAAATTGGCCGTGTAATATTTTATTTTATATATAAAAAGTAGGACGAACCGAAACCAAGACACCACACTTGTTATTTCCAGAATTATTTCTCCCTTATTATAGTTAAAAATTGGCAATAAGAACAATTATAATAAAATGGAGGTTGGTCCGTCTTTAAGCGGGCAGGAAGTCCCGTTAGTAAATAAATAATAACGTTTAGAGTTACTCACATTAACAAGTTCTTCCGTCAGCAAGTTTTTCTGTTCCGGAGTCAAATTCTTGTTGACTAATTGAGCCACTGGTTGCTCAGCGACTTCCACTTCCTCGCCTCTGTAGACCTGTTGGTTGGGTGGGGCCGCCGACGCGAATCCCAGCAGCAGCAACACCAGTGCGATCTTCATCTGTTGGAATAAGTATATATTTAATTAATTGATAGTATTTAAAGTCACACAGTATATAAAGGATAGTATGATTAAATAATTTTATTATTGTTATTTATTTAATGAAATTTACAACTAGTAAAAATGCACACATTAGAAATAATTACATGAACAGACTTGAAGAGATACTACCCAGTGTAAGCACTCTCTATTTAAATCTAGGAAAGAAGATCACCAGGCCATCTTCTTTTCAACCGCCTTGGGGGATTATCAGGAATCGAGGAAGAAGCAAGGATGGAAACAAGTAGATTCGGATGGGACTGGAGTTTATCATGATAGGATAGGTATCTGGCTAGGGCTAAATCAGCGGCATATGGGACATTAAGGTCTTTATGAATAGTTTTATTTGTGACAAATAAAATTAAAGATTTTGGATTGTAAGGATCGGATACGGTAGAAAAACGATGGTTAGTATTTTATGATTAAAACAAAAACCTTAAGGCACTCAGATTTTGATTATTAGAATTATCTTCAGTTCAAAAAAAAAATTAAAATCTTTCAATACCATAAAAATTTACTTATATAAAGGACTTCTGATTGATTTAAAAACAATATTTTAACTTCACGCGTTTTACACACGCGGTATCCCGCTCGGCCACTCCACATCCCAAAACTTTAGACCTTACATCAAGTATCAAGTAACCATTCCTTTATCTGAAGTGAAATGGGAAAACATGAGTTAATATAGCACAAATACACTTTTAAACGCTCGTCCTGCCATAGTTTGAGTAATGGGTAAATTCGGCAAAACAGGAAATTCATACAAAGGAATACAACACGGCTGCAATAATAACTATGAACTTTTTTTATGCATTTTTGAATACAATTATATATCATTATAAGTTGTTTTACGTTCGTACAGGACCATAAATATACGGACTTTCCAAAATATAGGTAAGGACGAATGAGGATTTTTCAAAATTAGATGGGAAGCATCCATGTATCTTAAGAAAATTTTAAAAGCATTTTTTTTATTATTTATAAAAAAGTGATAGTCTTCCTGTCGTATTATGCTACCTATTTGGAGCAAAGTTACTGAGCAACATTAAAGCTGGTGGTACTCAGTTGACGCGGAATTCGATGCTCTAAAACTTTTATTCTGTGAGATTTTTTCCCTTAGGAAACTTATTTCCAAGCTTCAGAGATATTTATAATAATTATTTCAATTTTGACATATTTGCTAAAAATAGCGTTCATTGGTCGTGTTTAATTACTATACCACTTAACCAAATTATTAAGTTTAGGTATTTGATCGATCAAAATTTAACGTTCTTTAAAAAAAAAAAAAAATGTTTTCAATTTAATACACCGTTTAGGAGGTATAGGAGAAAAAACATTATCGATAAAGTATTACTTGTTTGGCTGTAAAAAGTTTCCATCGGTTTCGATTTTCACATGTTTAAACCTATATATACAAGTTAAAAAATAATAAGTTTTCACACATTTCTTCTTTTCGATCCTCAAGTTACAGGCCAAATATTCTTTAAATCAGCTGACATTTTTTCAGATTCTATGGTCCGACTGGTAGAGTATTTTAAAAAAAATATAAATGTTATGAATATTTTTTTTTAAAACATTTTATTGAGAAATATTACAATTTGTCACAGTTAAGGACACTTTTAATAGAGTTCAGAGAGTACATTCATACCGTATATAAAAAAATATAAATAAACAATACTCAACAAACGAATAAGAAAAATGAACAAAAGAGAAAAAATATATATATATATATATTTATACATAGTTATGAATATTAATAACAAAATGTTTTCGAAATTAATTCTTCAAATAATACCGATTTAATGTCAATGGACGGAATAAGAGATATATTACTAAAATTATAGATGTGAAATAATTGAAAGAGGAATGGTTTCGACAAAATACCTGGCGTTATTAATTTATAAAAGAAAGAAATAAGTTTAACCTGCGGTCGATACCGGTTTCAGAGGCAGCCTTCGATTGAGTAAGCTCTTAGCTAATCCAGGGCAGTTCAACACACTCCTTTCGGTTTCATTAACGTCAATCCTTTTTTATGGAAAAATTATGGTTAATTAGTGGAATTCATAATTTTCGAAAATATATTCTTCATTGTAAATATATAATAATGAGAATGATGATTATTTATTTTGTTAGAGATATACTTCAGATACAATTGAAACCGGTTTAAGCCTTGACATCAACTATCTCACCCATTGCCTTAGTGTAAATTGCACGACAGTATCATTTGCTATCTTATCACATTTTGTATTGCCACGTAAGCTGCCACGTGTAGAATCCTAACAGTTAACTGTCGCACTTTATAAAACTTAATAAAGTCTACTGCTGAGTGCCCGGAAAACATTGTTCTCTTATAATGTTGTGTTAAGATTAATTCGGAAAATAAAATCGATTCTATCCGATTTATACTTTATTCGAAAATATTACGTGTGTAAATGAGGGTGATTTGTAGAAAAGTGTAACAGAACTTCTGCAAAAATACATCATAAATTATTGGCATCTGACTTGGTACTGCGAGGCCCACTTGTTCCTCCCTTTTCCTAGCTATTTTCCATAATTTTGATTTATTAAAATTTGTTTCTTACTTACTAAACTAATAGGGTGTATACAAAAATCGTTTTATCAAATTCAAGATTTCAAAGGACTGTAAATATTTTAATCCTATTTGATAATTACTTATACACCATTATCCCTTTAAACCATTCTCAAAGCTTGTTTAATCCCATTCAACTTCTTCAAAAAAAGCTCAGTTATTTGAATTATTGAATGATTATGACGAATTATTACTAGACCAATTCAGTTATTTGTTTCAAAGAAAAAACATGACAGTGTCCTACGAAATTCTCGTAATTTTAAGGCATTACTAGAAAAACATTTCACAGCCGCTGAAGCAATTCGCGAAATTATTAAATATGAGGGGGGAAGTGTCCATGACCAGCGTACTGTGTTGCGTTGGTTTAAAAAATTAGCAGTGGAGATACGACTTTGAAAAGAAAAAAGAACTCCAGGCGACCAGAAGAAATATTTTTTATTGAAGTATTAATTGAGCTGTTGAAGGGAATATCGGATTCAGAATTTTATTTTGGAGAACTTTCCTTATTTTATTGTATTTTTTATTGACCCACAAAAATTAAATTAAATTAAATACTGTCAAGCTAAATTTGCAATAGTGTACAATTTCCAGATTTTGCAAAGGGAAAATTTTCTAGTAACTTAGACTGGCGTATCCAAGGTGATGATTTTTTTTTTACATCGTTCCATCTTTTTTCTTTAAAAGATCTGACTCAAATACATAATTAATCAGAATATTTTGCTTAATTATAACGTACTTCAATTTACTTATACTTGTACTTCGTACATTTACTGTAGTTACCAAATTTAAACACAAGTTCAAGTAAAAACTTAACATTTTGCCCCTAAAAGCATTATCGTTCTTTAAAAAAAAAATGATTACTTATTAAAATTAAATTTTGAAACTGATAGGGTGAACGCAACAGTTATGGACAGAAGGCCCAGTGATGGACAGATTGAACTTTAAATGTAAATAATAAGCTTTCTTGTTGATTTAAAGGTTCCACTTTTCAAGAGTCAGAGTCAAGAACAAAGCCCTCTATTGACAACTGTGTGAATAAAGTTCCCAAAAGAAAATTTTAGAATACCTATCATTGTTGTTTCTACAGTGCTCTTGAGAACCATATGTTTCATACCTTCCTACTAACAGTTTTGCTAAGAGTAGGTTGAAAATTCATGTTAACTTTATCGTTATCTTTATAATTAAATAAAGACTTTAGAATTTTTCTGAGGTATTTCTATTACTGGTTACGACCCCCTGTCTATTACTAGAACAATTGAATTTCGAGGTGTTCATCACTAGTGCAAAAAGCTGTTTTTTTTTTATGGAGATTATATCTGCATAACTGAATATTTTTTTCAATTTTAAAGTACTAACTAGAAACATGAGAACCAATAGATCTTAAATCCTTAAAATAACGAAGAAGTTTATAACTATAATAATTATGGCGGCACAATCCAAAAAATACAAAAATCACTGGTGCGCTTACTCTACTTCTTAGCGGTTTAATTTTTAGAAATGATACTCCTGACTTCTGCAATAAGCCTAAGATATGTTTCTTCTCTGATTATTGTTGGCATGTGGTCGATTTGCTTATTGGTGGAAATCATTAATTGAATAACTAAGTAATTTAACGCCTAAGGTTTAACTCGCAACTAGTACTATGAAAATAAGGCATTACTATTTTGTGATTGATATGATACTGGATGAACTATACTGGAAGAGGGAAAGAAGCCTCTGACCTGGATGAGATTACAGGTTACCTAAGACGCTGTTGGCCAAATGGCTGCTGAGTGCTGGGATCCAGCAGAGAAAGTACTCGGGTCACTCGGAGCAAGCCACCTGAAACCGGCTAGGTCCAGCCATAACCATCTTACTACTTAAAAATCCTATTCAATAAAAACTTCTTTAGAACTTTTTTGTTATAAGAGTTAGAATTTCAATTCCTAACTTCGAGCGAAACACAGACCCGGAAATAAGTTTATTTTTTTTTTAGTAAGAGCATGCTTAATTTTGCCACCCTTTCCTTCCTAACAGAAGTCAACCAAAGTCTATAACAATGAACTAAAATTCGATACGTTGAGTTGTCTTATTAAAAAATGAATATCATAGTAGTTTCTATAGATTACGTTGACATTTTGTTTTTTCAAGCTGTTTTAGGACTTTTCTACATGTCCTTTTTTTTTTTTTTTTTTGGGTCCTCCTCACCGTTAAGGCCATACGGGGTTTTCTCGGGTCATATATCAGGTTACCGGGTAACGGCGGTGCTGTACACACGCGTTAGCCCATTCGGCTACCCCGCCAACAAAAGAACTTAGTGGAAACCGGTACTGAACCAGGATCTTTCATCATATCAAGTTCGCATGTAAGACACTACACTATGATTGTAATT